ATCCTGACTGGTTACTATACCCAATGCAGACACTATCCTTCCAGACATTTTTATGCATGAAGCACAGCTCTATAAACTGTGGAAAATATGGATTCACAGAGATTTTGTTGGGTCTCTTGTATGAAAAATTTTGTAAAATCCATTGTTCTTACTGTCTTTAAAGTAACAAATGGGCCTTATGCTAAGATAACAAATGGGCCTTATGTTGGAAAGTGTCTAAAAGAACATACGTTTTTGTTGCCCAAGGCAACCAAACATTTCCTTTTCATATTTGTGGTACAACCTGTGATGATGTGATAGGGAATTATCAACTGCTAAGAGCAACATACCCAATTTTTCATACATGAGACCAATCATAGGCTTTGGCTTAGATATACATAGATGTTAGGCCAAAATGCAGGTTAGATACAGCATGATTTCAGGGAAAATGCCTTGCATTTCTGATTATTTATTTATTACAGGTACTTACAAAACGCTGTCAATTTATGCAGTGCTTTACATATATATTTTACATTCATATAAGTCCCTCCCCTCAAGGAGCTTTCAATCTAAGGTCCCTAACTCGCATTCATACATATACTAGGGTCAATTTAGACAGGAGCCAGTTAACCTACCAGCATGACTTTGGGGTATGTGAGCAAACCAGAGTGCACCCACAGAGGCACAGGGAGAACATGCAAACTCCAAGCAGGTTGGAGGCCATGGTTGGGAATTAAGCCAACAAACCTAGTGCTGCTTCGCGAAGTGTTAACCACTTAGCCACTGAGCTGCCATATGTTTTACAATACTTTTGAGATGCTTTTACCATGTGTTTCCTGTGCTTTTACACAGATCTGTGTAGAGGAATAAACTTAATGCAACAGTTTACATGACAAATGCAACACTAATGCAATGGAAGCTTCGTATGTTGGGCATATTTCTGACTGGTGGCTCTGGTTTATGGGTTACAGTATGCTGCACATTATTATTGCTTTTTGCCTTGTTGTATTGAATATCTATTTGATTATCTATTGAATTTGAACTTAGCTCTATTTGATCATTTTTAAAGGATGGGTTAATCAGTCAGTATTGGTGTATTTATATAGCCATTTAGGAGTAGCCAGCACTAAAATTGTGCGTTTCAAAATATATCATGATCATACATATTGGATACAGAATAATTGCTCTCATCTACCCAACCTAAAGAATTTGTATACAGGCCAAACACAAATATTGTGAGTGCTCCACGCATAAACTATAACTATCATTAACAGTAAGATAGTTTACATGTAATAGCTGACGTTGATTTTTTTAGGTATTTTTTCATGCTGGTAGGACAAGTTCCTGAGATCCAATCTGAAACTTTGCATTAGGTACACATTCTTAGGCACAGCTCTGACAGCACAAAGCGTAATGCAATTGTTGGTTGGATCCAGGGCTGAATACTGCAAGCAATGGATATGACAAAGCAATACAAATTATTTTAGCTTTCCAGTTCATAAGAACTCATCAGTATTTTCATTTAGTTTTGATGGACTGAGGTTACATTACTGCAGAAAGAGCTTATAAAAAGTTACTGTTCTAAAGTTACTGAGGCTGGACTGGGGAAGAAGTATTGATGTTTCTTGGATCCACTCTTCCTATGGTTATATCATCTTAGATTGAACAAAGATAGGAAAAAGGACAAGTGCACATGTGCATTTCTCATGACCATTTGTCATAACACATACATTAGCTTTAACCAGGATAATATATATAGCAGGACCTGGCCACTGTTTTGCAAGCTTTGCCCACCATTTCAACCTCTCCAGTGCCAACTGAGTAAGATCTATATAGTTAAATGCTGCTATAGTAGGTGTACTTTTAACTTCCTACAACTCTGTCTTGTCTTCACTGACTGGGGCCTACATCTTTGATTTACTGTCACCTCCAAAATGATCAAGGCAACACAAAAGATTTGTATTCATCCAGCCTGAAAGGTGAATCATATGCTCCCTTTAATGCCTTTGACTGGTAAGTAACCGTAGAATGAGCACATTGTCCTGGTCTGTTCAAAAAAATAAATCATGCAATCTGGAGTAAAACATTTGCAGTGTGGATGTACATTACACATGTATGTACACACTTTGGGAGACCCTGATCTAAGTTATTATCTAATTGGATTCTATGAGTTTATGCAAATGTTCACTTATTGGTAACTCTACTATAATTATCATTCACTTTTATTTTATATAAGCAATTGACTATTCATTAGGTTTTTTTCAGTATATTAATTAGACTGATCAATACAAACTAATACAGGTATGCCCACTGAGCAGTTATTGTTCTTTCAGCAAAAATAACTCTTGAAACTCAAAAAAGTCATCTTGTGAAAAGCACAATGCTGTTGCGGGTCTTCTACAACTGTTTCTTGATTGTCTGTCCCTGCTGATAGGCAACAGCCTACAAAAACAGAACTTGATGCAGAAGAGTGCAGCTTATACCACAAAGAAGGTCTGGTGACAACTTGGAAGTTTTCAAGAGACAACTCAGATAGGTAAGAAATCATCAGCCCAAAGGAGAATTCCTTTAGAGGAATTAACCATATTATATTAAACAACATTTTTAGAATTATTATTAATTTTTCATATATAATATTAAATAGCAGCACTGACAGATAGAGTTTTAATAAAAATTTTTAGAAATTTGTTTACCCTTCATCCGCAAATAATGTATTTACACAATTTGGAACATTTTAAATGTTAATAAATATATATATCTTTTCTTTAAAATTTAAATAACAAAATGATTTGCATTGGTTTGTACTACAGATCCTAAACGGGTAACAACATGCTACAGTGAATATATCCAGAGGCGAGCCAGGCGGTTGGCATGTCAGTCAAGGAGGAGACTGTTAAAGCCACATTACCACGTATGGGGGGCATTGGAGGATATCTTTAGTAAATACACATTTTTCTTATAAAAAACAAAGAAATTACTGTTGAACAGAATTGAATTAAATCCACAGCAGTAATACTGGTTTGTTTTAGGGACATAATTTAGGTGAGCAGACCTGGACTGGCAGTCTTGCAGTTCTAGAACTGGCCAGAAGGACTGTTGTGTCTGATAAGGTTGATGTACTAAAACTGGAGAGTGCAAAATCTGGTGCATCTGTGCATGGTAGTCAATCATCTTCTAACTTCAGCCTGTTCAATTAAGCTTTGACAAAAAAAAAACCTGGAAACTGATTGGTTTCTATGCAGAGATGCACCAGATTATGAACTCTCAAGTTTTTGTAAATCAACTAGAATTTGTAGCCTGTTGTGAGTTGGTGATTGTTGTTTAGCCTCAGTCAATGTGCAGAGTCGAAACTTGACCACCAAATACTGTATATTCATTTAGTGTTGTTGCTGATATTTAAGCATTTTCATACGGCTGTACTTTGCAAAGTTTGATCATCAGCTCTTCTATGTTATTACAAAGGTACTAATTATTCCTGAAAAAAATTGGCTAAAAAAGGCAAACAAAATGTGGTAGGAACCAAACTGTTCTTTTTTTATCAGTTCTTTCAACATATGTTTTGGAAACCGACTAATTTAAAGTGAGTTTAAATCAATTGTATGGAAAGTTTTGTATAGCTTCCTTATTTTTTATATTATTTTTTTCATTTGACATACTTTGTTGACTGTTATAAACTGCTTCAAATTCAGTCCCACTTTTCTTGTAAGCTACACACTGGCCACTCATTAGCTGTTCCATGGGGTCAAAGTATCAGATCCAATTGAACAAGGCTGACTATCTTTCGGTCAGAATGATATTAGGATCAGAAAACTTTTTAGGGACATTTACATTAAATACTGTCTTACTCTAATCCTAAAACATCTTTATTGGTTAATGAAATAACCAAATGTAAATGTTTTTTACTATTGAATTGCTTTTTACATTACATTTTTGTTTTATGTTATAAATAGACTCCATGTTTATCCATCTACACGCTATCCATAGATATCAGAACTCTATTACAGTTATAAAAATTATACTGAGTCAGACTGAGTTTTGTGATGTGACTACATCCCTTCTGATAATTTTGCATTGAAACCAGGGTACACATACAGTATCTGTACAATATCAGAATGCAGCCACCTATATTATGAACTTTGGGCTGAAGACCCCTATTATATGTTTAAAGGAAAAATAAACTTATGATGAAAAAATTATAACATTATGTAAAAGAGCTACAAATTTCATTCATATATATATATATATATATATATATATATATATATATAAAAACCCACACCTATAGAGAAATTTCGATATCTCATAGCGCCATATTAAGATGGAATGTCTTTTGGAACCAAATTACTCTCTCCCTCATGGCTCCTTAGTACCTCTTTTAGTATAAAGGAAAAATGGAAGTAAAAACAAAAAGCCCTTTTGGGTTTAACCAATAATTTTTGTGCATTCATTCCTTGTGGTCAGCATAACTGGGGATGCCACATGGGTGTGTTCTTAACCTACATACTGTGTGCTTCTTTTCATCTATAGAATGGGAAATTAGTATGTGTTTGAAGATATTGCTCTCTAAGAAAACATTTTCACTTTAAAGTTTGGATAATCTCTTTACATTTTGATATATTTATCCACAAATCATGTTAAAATATCTGTTATATAAAGCAGTCTATGAAAATTATATAATTATGTATTAAAATAAACATATTTGTTTGATGGTCCCTTAACAAGCAGTAGCAAGATAAATGGAGTAATCAGTAAATATTTATATCTCTACTAAGATTTTAATGGCTTTTGAAGGCCACATGTGATTTTAAAATGGCAAGGCTCCAGTTACCCTCTGGATGTAAGCACTGATAGCACAACCTCATGTGGCTTTTTATTTTAGCAATAAGATCCACTTTAGCTGCAACTAACTGTTTTAATGGGTTTAAAAAAAATCATCTGAGCAAATAAGTGCATTGTAGGATAGGTAACCTCCTTAGAGATTGTCTCCAAAAAGGTGGGCACTTAAGTGTAATGTGTTTTGGCTATAAATCTATCAAACGCTCTTCGCATGGATCCAAGGGTAATTTTGTTGCTCCTCCAAAAACATCGACATTGTTATCGGCCCATGGGATGATGTTCCCAGGCATGTTGGTTGAGCAGTTGGCTATGTTGACTATGTCTTCCGTTTTTAGGACCCGGTCCCAGATATTAAACTGGCTCAACTCTCCAACAAAGGCTTGTGTGGCATCAAATCTTCCTCCAACAGTATCCTTCAAAGGAAAAGATAAACAATATTTGTATTTTCTTTGGGACCAATTTGTAACAACATTGTACTTTGCAGACTATAATATATAATAATAATAATAATAATAAAAAAAAAATAAAATAAAAATATCAATTCATTATAAATAGATTTTAAAATATAATTATTCAGAATAACTACAATACTATAATTATTGCAACTATTAATACATTTTAAAAGAATATTAAAATATTGATATTATTATATTGCAGCAGGGAAACACAGGTATTTGTCACACCCAGAAATGCCCAATATTGAATATACCAGCAGTGGCTTTAGCTCTGCAAGTGAAAGAGGATTGGAGATATGGGTGTTGGGACAGGTAAATATTACCAATATTATTTTGCAGGGCACTTCAAAGGGTCACTTTAAGGTCTAATACTTAAAGAGAATATTCAAAAGGTTTGCATATGTTTTCACAGTCGGAACTAAAAAAATAAATTTTTTTTTTATTCATGTTAGTTTACTCAGGTAAATTTGAAATATTACATACAACCATTTAAGTACTTTAATTTTCAAGCCACCAGTTGCCCAGCAGAAATAGTTTCTACATCTTCTATCACTACTTTTGTATAGTCACATTATCTAATCCCCACCAATAGCATCTCAACAATGCACTCACAAAACGAGAGGGATGCAGGACAGGCTAAAAAAAACAATGTTAGCCACAAAGCTGTTAACTATGAGCTTAGTAGGGTCAGATCCTGAAAGGTCTCTCAGGGTTGAAGCAGTCTGTGAAACGTAATCAACGGGTCTATCCAGGTCTGGATTTCTGCAAGTCCTGCAAGTCTTGATTTCTGCAAAAGTTCCAGCACTGGGTCTGACCCCACTATGGTCATTATTCACTCACATAATCTGCAGCGCAGTGAGAGAGATGCTGTGCAACAGAAATTAATTGCTCTATTAAATGCAAACATTTAAATCAAGCCTTCCTCTTCACCCTTTTCCTTTCTAATCAGGGGCGGACTGACCATTTGGAAAACTTGGGCAATGCCCGAGGGCCCGGGGTCAGTAGTGGGCCTCATGAGATGCCCCTGGGACCTTTATCATAGGCTTTTTTGAGTTTGGGCAAGGACACAGGGGCCCCATGATCCCCTATTGCCCGGGGGCCTCATGAGTTGTCAGTCCACCCGTTTCTAATCTGGGTACAGAAAAATGCACTGCTAAATCAGTAACATGCAGAAGGCAGACCAGCACTTTCAACCCCTCACCCGACTGCACCTCACTCCCTCGTGTTTTTTTCCTCTGCTGCAGCATTTACTTGAAATTACTGAAGGGAGGAGAAGAGAGTAGAACTCCTCACAGTTACTTCTTTTCATCCAAGAGTAGGCTGCATTCACTCCTCCATTCCATACAAAATATTAGAACTGCACAAGCCCACACCACCAACGACAAGTAGATTACGAGTGTGGGTCTACACTTGTACCTTATCTCTTCCCTTTGTAAAATCTGTTGGGTGATCTTTCGGCACTTTCAATAAAATGTATCTTGAGCTTAACTCCTTGGCACCGGCCGTATGCATATATGCAGTTTCTCAGTGGGTTGGTCTTAACACCAAGAGGCCACATATATGCGTACCTAAAGAAAACAGACTTGTGCTGAGAGTCTCCTGACACAGTTACCGGGGACTAACGGAAAGTTCCTGATACTTGCGATCGGGAGCTTTCCAATCATGTGACCATTGTGACAGCCAATCATGGCGATAACATGATCAGAAACCCCACCCCACCTCCGGGTATCTGAAACCCCTTAAAGGCCCGGGAGGCGCCAATGCCAAGGGGTTAAAGTATAACTAAAGTAAAACCTATTTATTTTAGGTTTGCATAAAGTGGAGAGGGATTAGAACACCTGTCAGTTTTTTAAGTGCTTTCTGTGCCCCTGTTAGGTCTGTGTCTGTGCTGCCATCAGAAATGAAAGGCATAACAAAATACATTTTCTTATATGCTAAGCAAGTTATAGGCCATTGGGTGGGACACACAGTTTGTGAACCCTCTAGCAGGCTTGGCCCTATTTTAGGGAAAGCAGTGATGACATACAAAAATGAAAATGTTCATAGTCCCGTATTAAATGTACTCATGGTTCTGATTACTGTCAATCTGTTGTACTATCAATGCTGTAAGTGAGATACTGTACTGTCACTGTACCTGAGATACATATCAAATGTTCTTAGTTTAGGGATTCTAAATAATGTCCCATGGTACTTTGGACCTCATAGGGACCACATTAGCCACTCTTGCTGTAGTTCTACCACTTGATGTAAGTTCACATTTTCTGTAAATCAAAGTAATGACTAAAAGTGTTTTTTTTTTTTATACATCCAGATCAAAATAGAAACTTTTAAAAAGGAATTTGAAAAAAAAAATATTAGAAAACACCATATTGAAAGTGGTGTGACTGTCTTTTCACATTTGCTTATTTACAATATGCTCCATAAGGAGAGTTGTAATGTAGAGGGTAATTATACTTTGTACCCACCTGCTCCTGGCCTAGAATGAGAATTCCATTTGGTTTAATTGGGTGCCAAGGGCTAAGTTTTCCCCTGAGCCAAGCTTGACTCCATCCAGATATGCTTCCCACATTCCATCTCTGGTTGTCCATGTGATGCAAATATGATGCCATTTTCCATCCCCAATAGAGAATGGTAGCTGAGCCACCTGCACACAAAAGAAAGGAAAGACAAATCATTGAAGTCTCCACGTACATGACTTTTTTCCATTCATAGCAAACTAATTTCCTCCACTTACTCCTGGGAGAAGTAATTTCAGGTGAAAATTGGTGTAAAGGGAAACTGAGATATTATAAAGAGCAACAAAATCTGGTGTTTATGTTCTGTTTCTAGCACAGGGTTTCTTAGATCTAAATGGTTACTCTGAACTATATTTCCAGTATACTTTTATTCCTGTAATTATACTTGTGTTTTTCATAAATTGTAAATGTCACGACTTAGCCCAATTTAAAATATATGATCTTCCTCAATATGACAGTGCAATCAGCAATAATACTATGAATTTGCAACAACTGATATCAATTTGTATTACTAGTACATACATAATATTAATGTTGTTTTTTAAACACATGATGAAATAAGCTCAAAAGAAGTCCCACGACCACATTTCATTTTAGCTATTCATACTGTTGTCTCACTCTGGCTCCACTTATTCTGCCTCCATTTTTTCATATTTATCTTTGTTCAGGTAAATATGAAATAACTCATATTAATATTAATTTTGTATTTTATCTGCTCAGCAGGCAAAGCTCCAGTCTCCTTTTCATATGTGAATCAGCTTCACCCTCAGCTCCTAAAATAAAATCCAGTTTAACGCACAATTGTCCCACCTTTTTCAGAGGGCTTAGTCTAACGTTTTATTCAGATAAATGGGGCCTTACCACATCTCCTGTACAAGCTAACCCATATTGCTTTAGGAATCCTTTGTTATATATTAGCAACAGCTATGTCCAAAAAAACTGCTAGTAGTTTATATGACAACTATATGTTGAAAAGGGCATACTCTCCAACAATTCAAAGAGATGGTATATCTTGTCCACCATGACACCTTACCCCAAAAAATCAAAGTATAAACATAAGTATTTAGCCCTTTTTACAAAGGCATTCAAATTATGTTTCTCGTACAAAGCTAGGTGATTCATTTACAAAGGAAATAGAGGCTTTAAAACTTAATGCATCACTTACAAAATGAACATAATTATAAAAAATGTAAATATTGGAGGCCCTAGCAGGTATAGAATGCCAGTGGGTGGATCAAAAAACACTAGCAAATATCCAAAATCAATACATTAGTTTTGGTTGAATGAAATCCCTAATTATTTGCACTACATTACGTGGCCTGTGTATCAGTCATACATGACATAGTTGCACTTTTACACACACCATTACATATATTATGGTTACATTTGTTTCATAATAAACTGAATTGTTATTCACATGCTGCAAAGATCAATGGTTCAGCAGACTTTGTTGCAAACTGCATGGCAGGGCATCCTTGTATGTACAGAAGCCTTTATTAAAATAATAGGACAGTCCAGGTCACTTTAAATCAGTTCAGTATGCTGCTACTGAAAACTAAATTCCTAGTTGCATGCTAAATTGTAGTAAAAATGCTAACAGGTTACATTTGGTAAGCAAAATTTATATTTTTTTGCCAGCAGTAAGAGCTTGAAAAAAGTCACATGGCTATAAATACAATCATTATAGCAAATAACACATATGTTATAGCTTAGTGAATTGGTATAATCTGCTGTATACAAATGAGGTACAGGTCCAAAAACCGATCATAATGTATAAGCCAAACTTTCTACTGTCAGTGTTGGTTAATGAGCTGGCACATTTTCTTTTACACTGCTGTCTAAATGGTCTTTTTGAATGTTTCATCTTTCCATCTCTAAGCACTGTGAGTTGGATTTATTTAAAAAGCAATACTATCATTGACTTCCATGCTGTTCTAAATTCTGCAGCCTCAGCTTAGGATTCATAGGTAGGGATTGGAACATATCAGTGAGTTCTGGAGCCAAGATCTCAGTGCTGCATGCCTTCAGGGTAGGTACTAAATGATTTTAGTGTAGAGATGAGGTTGGTATGCAGTAGAATAAAGGTTAGTGAGGGTTAGGGCTTAGTTGAGGAGTCAGGTTAGAATAGCATTAGTCCTAGACTTAAGGGGTGCTTAAGTCTTTCAGGAAGAGGTTAAAAAATAACTAAAGGCAAAAACCTATTTTTTTTTATTTTGATGGAGTAGATTAGAACATCTCTCAGGTTTTAATTGCTGTATGTGCCCCTTCCCCTTTAGAGAGATTCACCCTCTCTCTTTGTCCTGTTTACCATTATCACTGAGTGTGAAAGTGAGAGAAAATCCCAAATTTTGGGTTATCAGTTATAATCTTCAAATGGGGAAACCAGTTATGTTAACCCTGGTGACAACCAGGCATTTCTCTAATTTGGAGGGATTTCCACTCCAATGTTGACTATAAGTTAGTAAATGAATGGAAATCTCCCCAATGTGATGGAAAAAAAAAAAAAAAAGATTGGCAGGTGTTATAACACTTCCTTACCCTATCCAAAATGAAAAAAATAAAGTTTTGGCTTCAGTTCTTTATGTTTTAGGGTGTTCAGTTAAAGCTCAGGGATGGGGGATGGGGGATGTGTCACTTTGTCTACTTATTCTCTTTAAAGCTGAACCTCATGCCCACTTATGTCCCTCAGAGCAATCTGGTGCTTTCAGCTACCCCATCATGATACTCCATCCCATGATGCAGTGCTTGAGCCTGGCTGGCCAATCATCAGTTACAAAAATTGTAATATGAGGGTAGAGGTGGGCAGCACAGTGGCTAAGTGGTGAGCACTTTTGTCTAGCAGCACTAGGGTCGTAGGCTAAAATCCTAACCATGGCACTTCCTGCCTGCAGTTTGCGTGTTCTCCCTGTCCCTGCATGGGTTTCCTCCCACACTCCAAAGAAATGCTGGTTGGTTAATTGATTCTTGTCTAAATTGGCCCTAATATTTGTATGTATGAATGTGAGCTAGGGACCTTAGATTGTATGTTCCTTGAGGGCAGGGACTGATGTGAATGTGTAATAAATACACTGCATAAATTGATCTATAAGTACTTCTATAAGTAAATCTTTAAAAAATTAGAGGTGAGATCTCATCAACCTTGTGTAAGATTTGACACCTACTGACATGGAGCTTACAAAGAGTTAGAATTGTGGAGACATGACATAAGGGGAAGCACTTCCAAGGTGACTATAAAGGACTTTAAAGAGACTAGGTCACAACACCATGAATGGTGTTGAAGTTCATTACTGAACCTAATACCTGGCTGAAGGTGATGCAATGGAACAGGGTCTACAAAACTGACCTTCACTTCTCCAGCACAATAAGGATCAGTGGATCACAAGTAGTTGTATAGTTTGACATGGTTGACCCTGGTTAGATATACAAGTCAGGACTCCTAAATGTGAATTACAGACCCACTACTCAAGTTATAACATCCACAATCCCTATAGCCCAACTTCTGCCATAGGTCAAACCTAGAATCATTCCTTGGAGTGGAAAGATTTCAGTCTCCTTACTTCTACACAGAATTCTAGCGCTCTACTTCTTTATTGAGCTGTGGATTTCTATAGCTCAAACTGGTTTACAAGTGCTGCCAGCTGTGGAAATACATTAGAAAAGCCTGAATTTACAGCAGCTTGTGAAATCTGTATAAATTTCTGGCAAGCTGTGAAAACGCACACCATCTGAATGGTACAGCAGGTCTCCTAGCAACATTACTACTACACACCATGGGACTATATGTTTACAGGTTTAATAAGCAATCAGGAAAACACCACATAGCAAGGAAATTACACAGATCATCAGTTGTGCTGTGCAAATAAATTCTTCTAACATGATATTTCTTTACACATATTTTCACATACAGTGTTAACCTACTTACCACAATAATTACAACAATTTTCTTCTTCAGTAGAGAAAACTACTTCTTAAGCCTCATGCACATGGCAGTATGGGTCCATACAGTGTACAGAGCCTGAGTAAATACTTTCCAAGGGCCCGGATCTGCTGCATACAGCCACCCATTGAGATTAATTAGAGCATGCTGCTATATGCCATTATACAACTGCATGCACATGGACCTTTGCTCCAAAAGCAGATAGTGTGCATGATCATGCAAGCTCTGCATGCTTTATGGCCCCTGTACGGCCCCATGAGGCCTTTGGGTACGCTGTTGTGAAACACATTTCCCTGAATTCAGAAAGAATGTCATAAACTCTTTTGTCACAGATTTATTTACCTGTTGGAAAAAGGTGCATGAATTTGTCATAGGAGGCATGATGGCAGCCAGCGCTGAGGCTAGAGTGCCCATACCAGTCACTCCAGCCTCAATGCAGCATTGAAATTCTATCAGTCTGACCACTGCACCTTTCACACAGACAGGCACAGGGTCAAAGAGTTGAGTTGTGTGGGGTGGGCAGAGCCTGATGGGGATTCTAAGAGACTAATTCCCTATCTGGTCTGCCTCCCTTGTGATTGACAACAGATAGCATTGAGTGGATTCCATGTTCGCTAATGGTCTGTGCCATCCACTGCCAATTACAAGGAAGGCAGACCTGATGGGGAACTAGTTTCTAAGAATGCACATCAAGCTCCGCCCATTGTCAGTGTCCAGCCCCACGTCACTGGTTTCTAAGACACTAGCGGTGTGCATCCTAGCAACCAATGAAGATAATACAGTAATAAAGTATTATTAATGTTCATGAAGGAATTTTTTTCCCTGCAGAAGCAAATTGGATCATGCTTTGCTGGGTTTTTTTTTTGCCTTCCTCTGGATCAACTGTGGGTATAAGATTATTATTATTATTTTTTTTTTAAATAGTTGAACTGGATGGACTTTTGCTTTTTTTTCAGCCAGACTAACTATGTAACTATGATATAATTAAGGTTTATTATTTAAATATTAAAGTGTATTATTATTATTAATATTGTCAAAGAATTTCTCTAAAATTCCTGCCTGTCCCTGTATGCCAACTTAGAGTTGGTCTTAATTAACTTCAGTTTCCTGAAAGTATGCTGTTTTTCTCCCAGTCGGAAGTGACTTCACAAAGCAAATCATATGATGTCATTTCTAAGGGAATTTGAGTCA